CCCCACCTTTAGCCTCGGGCATGAGCATTTGTATAATCTTGTTTTGCTAAGTTGCAGTAGTGAATTTTCTTGACTTGGTCTTAACTAGAATGAGATTTTTGTCTTGGTTTGTACTTATGTGAAATTTACTTGTTGAGTCTTGAGTCTAGCGAGGTCACCTTGAAGCCAGAACCACTTGAAACACTTGGTTGACCTCTACTTTCGTCCGGCATATTGGCCGAGATGTCATTTCTCTAGCCGAGGTATATCATCAAGGCGAGGGGTGTATCATCTAGGTCGGGATGTTATCCTTGAACCCAAGTGATCTTGTTCCGAATTGGTGCGACCTAGACCGAGGTGCCACGCACATCTAGGCGAGGTGTGGCACAGCTAGGCCAAGTGTTTGTCGTCCTAGCCGGGATCATAGGTACCTCACCTACCAGAGCGAAGTTTTCACCGCTATCAGTACCTTGTCAGAATGCCATGCGCTTTACTTGTTAAACACCCTTTCGCCATACCTTGTCTGGTCTGTAGCCTCCTCTTCGGGAGAACCAACCAGCCGTTGCCACGTGTCCGAGCTGAATGTTAAATCAGCCGGCGGGTAAGTAGAACCTACATTTTGTATCATATCTTGCCTTGAAGAGAGAGAAGCTCTGGAAGGAAGAAGGAGTTTTAGAGTGGAGGAGTGGATCTTCGAGCTTGATTCTAGAGATCTAACCGTCAGATTCGTGTATTAAGGTTAGATTCTTGACCTACTCTTGTAGTCTTGTTAATCATCTAGCTGATTGCATGATCGAACCTGATTTGCAGCCATGCATTGATTGAAAGTTTGGTTTTAGAAAGAGAAGTAGTATTCATGTGTTCTTGAATAAAAGCCTTGTTTGATCGAAAGTTGCATTAAGATTCATGCTTTTGTGTTTTTCATAGGTCTTTCGAGTATAGGGTACCCAGGTCATGTTTTTGAATTCATGGCATGAAATCTCAGCTTTTGTAATAGCAAGTTTTGATCTTTGCATTCATCTTCCTCATGTCCATTGTTCTTCATGTTCGTTCATGTTTCAAGAGAGGGAAACCCAGATTTTTCCGACCTCATTTCCTTGAATGTGGCCATCAAGGCAACACCTCGGCAAGGAGGTGTGGGACCTCGGCCTAGACTGGTTATCGCCCAGCATGTTTTCCCGAGATGAAACAGTGTTTTTGATTTAGCTTAGTTTTGAGGATTGCCGAGATCATCTGTATGCATATGAGCTTGTTTGACAAGTGCATTCATAGACCTTGCCATGGTTTGTAGGACTTGGACTCTCGCTTGACGCCCGACGTTGAAGAACTAGGTGAGTGGGTATTTTTGATAAAGCTACGTTATAAAGTTTTGATAAAATTTTGCTTTGTTCTTGAAAAAGTACTTGCTAAGCAATGAATGACTATCCCTATTTGTGTATAAGTTATTAGCTTTGATCTTGGAAAATCTTGAAAGTCCGTACGTGCTAGGGACTATAAGCATTTTGTAGCACAATCTTGAAGTTCGTACGTGCTAGGGGACTATTAGCATTTGTAGCACAATCTTTGAAAGTCCGTGCGTTGCTAGGGGACTATAAGCATTTATAGCACAATCTTTGTTAATGTCACCCATTGAAATTTAAAAGACCTTTGATTGATGAAGCTCGATAGATTTGTTAGATGAACACGATTTATCCCAGTTTGTGATAAGCTATGATTATGCATTGTTTGTTAAAGATCACGGATGTCATATATGCAACCCTTTATTACTTGTACCTTCACTGAGTATCCAAGCTCCACCCTCTATTAATATATGTAGGTGATGAGCAGGAAGGCGGTGACGCCTAGGTGTGACTCGCAAGCTTGTTTGGGTTTTTTTGTTATGTCGCCTAACTTGTATTCAAGTCGGTAGTCTTGAAAATATATGCTTTCGGCTCATACATGTTGCTTATATTTACACATGTCGGCTAGAGAAGCCTTTTGATCAGGATGTAATATGTATTTTGTACTTCATTATATTTGTATTCAAGTTGTAATATTATGTAAAGTTGTATGCCATTCCATGTACTACGCACTGCTCTTTGACCACTTGTATTTTTAAATTATTGCTTCCGTATTTTGTGAGCCCCATATATATATTTTACTCTGATTGTGTGTGGGTTTGGAGGTTGGCCTTTCGGTAATCCCGGATTACTGGCCATCACGGCACCATGCTACTAGGGCGGAATGGGGTCGTGACACTTACTATAATTTAAGAGTTGCTCTTTGTGCTGCAAATATGGGTTGTGCCACTTCCCTATTGTGTACCATATATCTTTTTTCATCCTTTACCATTGGGACATTGCTTTTGTCATTTCTTATGAGTCGTGGATCCGGTGACTGTTTCCATTTTTTAGGCAATATGTTATGTTTGATTACTTTCACTGATTGCCTAAAAAATGTGAACAGTCAACGGACTCACGACTTCATAAGAAATGAACAAAGCATATTGTCCCCAATGGGTAAGGATAAAAAAGGATGATATGGCATACAAGTAGGATAGTGGCACAACCTTATTTGCAGCAAAGAGCAACAGTTTAAATTATAGTAAAGTGTCTTAACGACCCCATTTCCGCCCTAGTAGCATTGTTGCCGTGATGGCAGTTAATCCGGGATTACGAAGGCCAACTCCAAAAACCCACACACAATCAGAGTATAAATAGTATATGGGCTCACAAATACGGAAGCAATAATTTAAAAATACAAGTGGTCCAGAAGAGCAGTGCGTAAGTTACATGGAATGGGCATACAACTTTACATCAATATTTAAACTGAATTACAAATATAATGAAGCTACAAAATTACATATTACGCATTCTGATCAAAAAGGCTTCTCTAGCCGACATGGTAAATTACAAGCATTATTGAAGCCGAGAAGCATAACTTTCAAGACTACCACTGAATACAGTTAGGCCGACATTAACAAAAAACCCAAACAAAGCTTGCGAGTCACACCTAAGGCGTCACCGCCTTCACTGCTCTCACCTATATATTAATATGAGGCTGTGAGCTTTGGATACTCAGTGAGATGAGTACAGTTAATAACAGGGTTTGCATATTATGACAGTCCGTGATCTTTAACAAAACAATGCATAATTCTGAGTTACACAAACGTGGGATCAATCGTGTTCATCTAACAATCTATTCGAGCTTCATCAATCAAGGTCTTTTAATATTCCATGGCGGTGACATTTAACAAAGATTGTTGATATAAATGCTTTATTAGTCCCCTAGCACGCACGGACACTTTCAAGGTTTGTGCTACAAATGCTTATATCCTCTAGCACTACGAACTTTCAGATTTGGCTACAAAATGCTTTATAGTCCCTAGCACGTACGGACCTTTCAGATTTCCAAGATCAAAAGCTAATACTTGATACACAACATAGGGATAGTCTATCATGCCTTAGCAAAGTACTTTCAGAACAAAGCAAAACTTTATCAAAAACTTTATAACGTGCTTTTATCAAAAATACCACTCACCTAGTTCTTCAACGTCGGGGTCAAGCGAGAGTCCAAGTCCTACAAAACCATTGGCAGGTCCTATTGAATGCACTTTTCAAACAAGCTCATATGATACAGATGATCTCGGCATCCTTCAAAACTAAAGCTAAAGTCCAAAAACACTGTTTCATCTCGGGAAAACTGCTGGGCCGATAACCAGGTTCATAGAGCCGAGGTTCCCACACCTCTTGCCGAGTGTTGCCTGTAGGCCACATTCAAGGAAATGAGGTCGGAAAAATCTGCGTTTGCCCTCTCTTGAAGAACATAACGAACATGAGAACATGGACATGAGGAGAGATGAATGCAAAGATCAAAACTTGCTATTACAAAAGTTGAGATTTCATGCTATGAATTCAAAAACATGGACCTGGGTACCCATACTCGAAGATCCTATGAAAACAAACACAAAAGCATGAATCTTAATGCAAACTTTCGGATCAAACAAGGCTTTTATTCAAGAACACATGAATACTACTTTCTCTTTCTAAAACCAAACTTTCAATCAATGCATGGCTTATAAATTGTGCTCGATCATGCAATGCAGCTAGATGATTAACAAGGACTACAAGAGTAGGTCAAGAATCTAACCTTAATACACGAATCTAACGGTTAGATCTCTAAGAATCAAGCTCGAAGATCCACTCCTCCACTCTAAAACTCCTTCTTCCTTCTAGAGCTTCTCTCTCTCAAGGCAAAGATATGATACAAAATGATAGGTTCTACTTACCGCCGGCTGATTTAACATTCAGCTCGGACACGTGGCAACGGCTGGTTGGTTCTCCCCGAAGAGGAGGCTGACAGACCAGACAAGGTATGGCGAAAGGGTGTTTAACAAGTAAAGCGGCATGGCATTCTGACAAGGTACTGATATCGGGTGAAAACTTCGGCTCTGGTAGGTGAGGTACCTATGATCCCGGCTAGGACAGACAACACTTGGCCTAGCTGTGCCACACCTCGGCCTAGATGTGCTGCACCTCGGTCTAGGTCGCACCAATTCGGAACAAGATCACTTGGGTTCAAGGATAACATCCCGACCTAGATGATACACCCCTCGGCCTTGATGATATACCTCGGCCTAGAAAATGACATCTCGGCCAATATGCCAGGACGAAAGTAGAGGTCAACCAAAGTGGTTTCAAGGTGGTTCTGGCTTTAAGGTGACCTCGGCTAGACTCAAGACTCAACAAGTAAATTTCACATAAGTACAAACCAAGACAAAAATCTCATTCTAGTTAAGACAAGTCAAGAAAATTCACTACTGCAACTTAGCAAAACAAGATTATACAAATGCTCATGCCCGAGGCTAAGGTGGGGAATGAGGGTCACTACAGTAAGTCATAGTAATTAAATATTGAAGAAGTATAGCTAAAACTGCAGGATCATTCTAGCAAAATAAATCTTAATAAACCAAATTGATACAAATCATCAAACTGTGACAATCTCCAAAATCAACATATAAAACTTTAAATTCACAAAGGTACCTCACAAATCTCATTGCCTCGCTGAAACTCTTCCATCATCACACGCAATGTGCTTGTCGACACATTGTAACTAGAGTTCATGCAGGGATATGCAGGAGTTATGGTTGGCATCAGGTGCTGCCTATCCCTGAAATTTCTCTTGGGATCCCAAACAGGAAGTCCCAGAGAACCATCCTGAATAGGACATAACGTGACAGGATTTGGCCACCGCCAAAGGTTATAGACCTTGAAGAACCTTGAGACCAACATATTAGGTAGTGCATTTGGGTAAAGTTGGCATATACGAGCAACAAGTAACGCCCAATTGATACCACCAAGAAACCTCGAAACCTAATTGTGACAGAGAATCACACAACATGTGTAGTCAGAAATGAGACACAACAGCAAGAACAAAGAAACATTAAGAATGAAAGAGCATCCTCACATTTGAATAAACCCCACATCGCTTTGCCTAGAGTCTCATACATCTCAGTGTAGTACGAAAGCTATGACCATGACAAAAATAAACATAATCAGCAACACATACAAGAAGCCAAATTTATGAACAAAAATATTCAACCACAACATGAATATTTCGGACCAAACGCAAAATTTGATCAGTCACTCTGCATCCATTGAGACTACGAACTGTCTGCTCATCTACATTCTGCAGTATTGAATCTTGCGAAATATCCAAGTCCTGTAACAGACAAACATATTTAGAGATGAAAATCGAAACCTACGCAAGAGTTTATTTAAATGGAACACAGATCCAGATCGTTACTGTGTAGTGATGAAAACCTCTGAATCTTGAGTTCACTCACAGCAAGTCTAGATCAGACTCGATGAATAACAAGCCCTATAATGAAAATCAAAACCCTAATCAAATGTAAATACAATAATTTTCAATAATAAATTTGAACATTTATGAAAACTAGTAAATCAAATACAAGATTGCTACCATGAAAGCTCTGTATCTCAAGTGAACTTAGCAACTCCAAATCACGAGCGATTGGATACCTGAATCCATGAAAAACGAAGACCTAGATCGGTAAAGATTAAGGGAAATCGAAAAATCTGGAAGGGAAATTGAAAAATCTCGAAGGAAAATATTAAATCCTAAGCCCTAGTGCACAAATCGAAATCGAGATCCAGATTGAACACGAAATCGTTGAGATTAGAAGCATTAATCTCTCTGTAGATCTATAAACTCCAAGAACTCTTCATTGCTGGTTGCATCCACAGCTCCTTAATTAGGGCTACTGAGAGAGAACCATTTTAGAGAGAGAGAGAGAGAGAGCCATTTGGAAATGTTTGAATAGATATGGGTTAAGTCTCTGTGAAGTTAAACATACTTGTGTTATTAAGACAATCAAAAGGGCATCCTATTAATTTAGGTGATATCAATCTTTGAAAAACGTGTCTGTTATTGAAATGTATCACAATGTTTTTAAAAGCGTCGTGATAAAAGCGTCACCGTAAGCAACTTTTTTTGTAGTGTCTCTTGTGACCTTAATGTTGTGTTTGGTTGGAAAATTTGGACGGAGATTTAGAAATGAAAAGGAAAAAAGTGTGTGAAATTAAGTGAAATATAGGTATATTTTATTCTCATTTTGTCTACTTTTTTATTTTTTTTTTTAAATCTCTTCTTAATCTCCCAAACTAAACACAGCGTAACAGACAAAACAAACTAGGTTTTGTGTGCTGAGGTAATAGTCAGACTCTTTAACTTGTCATTGAAAAAAGTAATTAACCTCCTGATTAGAATAGATCTTGTTTCTTTGCATCAGCTGATAGGTCCATTTGTCATACTTTGGGTTCAGAAAAAGAGATGGGAAGCAACAATGCCTTGAAGCATGTCTTTGTGTGTTTGTCTTTTTCCTCTCTCTCTCTGTGTTGGAGAGGGTGAAGAGGTAGAGCAGGTTCTTAAAATTTGGACTATCCTATCTAGCACTGATTAGCATGTCTTATTCTTTGTCCACAAGCTAGAGAATAGAGACTAGTCTGAGGAGTTACTTGCGTATCCAACTTATCCTGTTGTGCTTTAAAAAGTGAAGAAGAATGTGGGCATGCTTCCTTTGGGGGTTACTTTTTTCGTCTTTACTAAATTTTTTTTCAATTTTAAAGTCTAGATTGGACGATTTTAAAAAATTTACAAGAAACGAAAAACTCAATTCCAGTTATTTTTTTCAATGAAAGTTACCTTTTTCATTTTGTGATATTTTTTCAAAATGTCAACTCGTCTCACATGAGTCTTAGTTGTTGTGCAGAGGTCCATTTCCTGACTTCGCTTACAAGGACAAAAGTTGGCTTCTTTATTTTTGGTGAACGTTTTCAGGATGTTAAGTATAAGCTGACTTAAAAAGTAAAAAATTGTGTCTCAAAATTTAAAAAAGTTCACTAAAAATGGAGAAAATAAAAAAAAATTAAAATAAGCGGGCTTAAAATTTGGAGCCAAAGGAATCAAATTTGTAAATTCTGAATATTTGATTCATTGCTGTGCAGACTCGGATTACATGATATGCTGTATATATTGTGCCCTGTATTTAATCACTTAATTATCAAAGAAAGTACAAGTTCTTCCACACCGACATCCACTTCCAAACACAAGTTTCATGAAGTATGTTAAAGGAACCCTCTCTCTTAGTTAACATTTTGTGAAGTTGTTGCTTCTTGCTCACCTGTGACCACATAAGACGACATTTTGGTATGTTTCTTCTCTTATTATTTCCGAATTTTTTCTTGTTTTGTGCTCAAACAAAATGTTGCAGAAGGATGATCAGACGTTCATGGGCCACACTCGGAGGTTAGTATGTAGCTGCTCAAATGCTTGATAACAGGTGATTTCTTTGTCTTCTTGTTTCCTTGTGGTCCCTTTTTTACACCATGAATTATCTATTGCTATTTTATTAAGTTAAATATAGTTGAATATTACATAGGTAAGGTCAGTTATACATTTTAAAATATTTTATGCTTTAAAATAAAAGATCCTAAATAATTATTTCTTATTATTTGGTCATTGTTACTTGAAAAAGTCTGTATACTTAGGTGGTGTTTGTTTTGAAGGATTGAGGGGTGGCATTAGACTATTAGTCCATCTAGACTAATTTATGTGTTATATTTAGTAAAATTTAATAAAATTTAAATGTCTCAATTTAAAAACAAAATAATTTTATTTAATTTTTTTTGATGTTTTATTTATTAAATTTTTTATAGATATTTTATTGACGTTTTATTTTAAAATTTTGTTTATATTTTATTTTATTTAATTTCATTATTTAAATTTTAATAGATGTTTCATTTAATTTCATTATTTAATTATTATTATTTTTAAAAATAAATTTATTTCAAATTTTAACTAAAAAATAACATATATTTTTATTGATATTTTATTTATTTAATTTTTTTAAAATAAATTTATTTAATTGTGTAAAAAATAAAATAAAATAAAATATTTTTTAATCTAGCTAAAAATAATTAAAATATTAAAGATATGTTTAATATTGCTATTACTTAAGTCTCGTTTGGGAACAGACTTTTTTAGTAATTTTTTGAATTTTTGGCTAAAATATGATATAAAAAAAATTAATATGTTTGGGATGACTTTTTAATTTTTTACGAAAAGTTGTAAAAAAAATAAAGAGAAAAGTGAATCTTTAACTTTTTGGTATATGTTGTTGGCTTTTTGGTTTTTTTTAATGACTTTTTGATTTTTAGACTAAAAAGTAATGTTGCCAAACGAGCCCTTAGTAAATAATTGAAAAGGGTAAAATAGTCATTTGAGTATTTAACCTTCTCCATAATATCGAGAGCTTCTATCTACACACACCAAATCCCCTCTATACACACACTTAATGATATTTAATTTTATTACAATTTTATCCCTAAGTGAAATTACTATTTTAGACATCATTGTTGATTCAGAACATCTCAATGCACACATCCATCTAGACTTTACATCTGATGCATCGTGCACACATCCATCCAATTCAAAACGTCTCCAAGTTTGTAGCTTCATTGAGCTAGAAGTGAAAGCAGAGTATTCACTCATTCGTAGCTTCTTTCAAGTTCGTAGCTTCTTCTATTAAGCTCCAAGTTCGTAGCTTCTCAATGCACTCATTTATCAACATTCCTATTCATCATTGTTATGGAGGATTTGTCTTCTGAAAATCAGCAAATCAGCAAATAAATGTTTATGAGAAACATAGCGAAGGAAATGTGAGTTTCTCTTGATTTTTTTTTTCTAGCGTCGTTCGGATAACCAGAGTCGAATTGTATTATTTGGTTCAGAAATCTACTACCAAAATAAGTATTTATTTTCAGAAGTTGTCGTCCGAACAAAATAATTAATTTCGGAAGTTGTTGTCCAAACAAAGTATTTAAATTCGGAAGTTATTGTCCGAACAAAGTTAACTTTTACAACTTTCAACTTCCAAAATTTTAAAATAAATTCGGACAACTACTTCCGAATGAAGTAAAATTTTTTTTTCCCCATTTTATATTCCAAATTTGCAAACTGCATACCAAATTTACAGTTTAGAATTGCAAATTAATCTTTATAATGCCATTAAAAATTTGTAATGTTATACAAACACATGTAGGAATATGTGTCAACTCAAGAAAGTCAGGTTTGCGCGGATTTTGTGTTGGATTACACTACTCAATTCACAACTGAACAGGTTCACTCTACGAAATTATAATGATTATGTTTCGAATTGCTCAAAAAATGTAAATATTTGATAATATTTATTTGATTTTGTAGGTATTCAAAAGTACGGATGAATTGCTCAACTGCGTACGTGAAGTTGGAAAGAGAAATGGTTTGCTCATTGTAATCAAAACATCAGACTATGGTAGAGGGAAAAAAAGACGCAGGATGTATCTTGCTTGTGAGAGGAGTGACCAATATAGAGCGACAAAGAAGTTAAAACATGATGGCAATAATACATCAAGAATAACCGGGTACAAAGAAGTGTGGTTGTCCTTTTGATATGAGGGCTCACAGGTTTACCACACATGATGAAAGGACATTGACCGTAGTATGCGGATTGCATAATCGACATTCATATGCGGGGAGGCTATCAAATGATGAGAAAGCATTGTTAATGGATATGTCAAAGAGCATGGTTCGGCCAAAAGAAATCCTAGTAACCTTGAAACAGCGAGATGCCCTCAATGTAAGCACACTTAAAACCATTTACAATGTACGCCATCGAAACAGAGTGGTACAGAGAGCTGAAAGATCACAGATGCAACACTTATTGGGTGAATTGGCCAAGTATAATTACATTGAGCGCCATCGGTTTGAAGAGTCCACGATGACTGTGACATACTTATTTTGGGCACATCCTACCAGTGTGGACTTATTTCGGTCTTTCCCACGTATATTAATTATGGATTGCACATATAAAACCAACAGATATCGTATTCCTCTTCTTGAAATTGTGGGAGTGACATCAACTGAAATGACATTCTCTGTAGCTTTCGCATACTTACAGTATGAGAGGGTCGATAACTATGCGTGGGTGTTAGCTACATTGCGTGATGTCATGGATGGTTTTGTTGTGCCAACAATTATTGTTACTAACAGAGAGCTAGCCTTGATGAATGCCATACAGAAGATATTCTCGAGTGGCAGACATTTATTATGTCGTTGGCATATCAGTAAGAATGTATTGACCAAATGCAAGAAAATGTTTGAGATACAGCAGAAATAAGAAAAGTTCAACCATGAGTGGAACTTTTTAGTGTATTCATCTTCTGAAATTCAATACGATGAGCGTCTTAAATCATTACTTAAGGAATTCAGTAGTTATCCTGATGCAGTCAAATACATCATGGATACTTGGTTGGTTCCTTACAAGGACAAATTTGTGGCGGCATGGACAGACACGTGTATGCATTGTGGCAATGTTACAACGAACCGGTAGGATTACTTTTGTTCAATATGTTATTAATAAGTGCCATGTACTTGATTTTAATTTGACTTACATTGAATTGAACAAGGCTGAGAGTGCACATGCAAAACTTAAAAGACAATTGGGTTCATGTCAAGTCTCATTTCAGGCATCATTTGAGAAAATACACAGTCTGCTTGAGTTGCAACACACTGATATCAGGGCTTCATTTGAGAAAAGTCTAACTGTTGTGCAACATCAATTTAAACCTTCTCAGTTCAGGGAGCTACGGGGTAATGTGTCTATCTCTGCATTGGAGTATTTGTTTGAAGAAAGTAAGAGAGCCAATTCCATTGGTATTGATGTTGAAGCTTGTGGATGCGTCCGTCGCCACACTCATGGTTTACCTTGTGCCCATGAGATTACTGACTACATCAGACAAGATCATCCTATACCACTTGTTACTATACACTCACAGTGGAGGCAACTTCATATCTCCATATGCAAGAAAGAAAAGGAAACGGAGGTGAGTTGTCATGCAGAAGTAGAGTTGTTTGTGAACAAGTTTAATGAAAGTGATAGAACCATGTGGTTGGAGCTTTTGAAGAAGTTAAAAGAAATTGTATATCCGGGAAGCACTTTTCTTGTTGAGCCGGAGGTGAAGCCCAAAACACGTCCTCGGGATCATAAGAAGATCAATGTTTCTACCCGTCGTGACCCGTGTGCATTTGAGTTGGTTCAATTTGGACATGATTCCTTCTCACCTAGGGACACTCAAATCACTACATTAGCTTCTACTCTGCAAACCAAAAAGAAGCGACCTGTTAAGGGAAAGAAGAAGGTGAATCCGAAAGGGAAGGTATACATTACTAGAACAGTGAAACCTGGTGCATATGTTGATGCTTTCCTTTCTGGGTTGAAACCATACATTAAGTTTGTTAAGGATGTAACTGCAGATGGGAATTGTGGTTTCAGGGCTATAGCTGCTTCAATTGGTTATACAGAAGATGATTGGCTCAGGTTAGGCGTGATCTGTTGGGTGAGCTGCACACATACAAAGAGGAATACATTACACTTTATGGGTCCTACGAAAGGTTTGAAGAATTGACAAGCATATTGTCATACTTTGAAGACAGTCCTGGATACTCACATTGGATGACTATGCCAGACATGGGGCATCTTGTTGCATCGTGCTACAATCTTGTGTTATACCACTTGTCATTACAGCAATGTCTCACCTTTTTACCTCTTAGAACAGTGCCAGTACCTCAACTTGATAGACGTGAGATTGCCATTGCGTTTGTCAACGAAAATCATTTCGTCCAGGTATAACATAAACTTATCAATTGGGTTTGTGCATGTACAAGAAGTTATGAGGTATGACCACTAACAAAATTAACCTCTATTTGGTGCAGGTTTTGTTGCAGCCAGGCCATCCAGTTCCTCCTATAGCCACTAATTGGCGAAAATACCGTCACCCTTGCGCTGTCGACTGGGATGATGCATATGTGCGTCGTATTCAACATTTCAAGGACATTATTCATGATAATGTAACTACTCGAGAGACATTTGATGTTGTTGATGTCGCATGACACATGTATGCATTTGACAATGTTAGAATTATGGAAGAAATTAAGGGATGTGTTTTTGATGTTGATGTGTTCTGTTTTGCAATCTGGATTGAATGTTATCGACCATTGTTACCATTCCATTGGAATAAGAAAATATCATTTACAAAATCAACGACCATTGTTACCATTCCATTCTAATAATAAAATGTCATTACAATGTCATTACAATACCATTGTTGCCATTTCATTCTAATAAGAAAATATTAACCACTGTTACCATTACAACAATATCATCTTACAAAAAACACCAAAAAAAATTCATCAATTAACAAATAACATGTCATGAATCAGCTGTATGCCTACGCTTAGGCCTACGACTGTATGTCAATGTCGAAGATGGAAAGTGACCTCCAGTATAACTAGGTCCAGCTTCGTCAATGTGCTAACCTTGAAGGACATGCGTCATACTCTTGATAGCCTGGTAAAGTCGATGAGGATGTCGAATCCCCTCGTCATAACCAGCGTCAATAATAGGATGTGAAATCTGCAGTGCATGTGCAATACGTTGCATTTGAAAAGAATATCACATTTTAGGGAACATATCAGAAAATAAAAAGTAAGTTACAAATGCATAAAAGAGGATAATATATTACATCGGCATGTTGGTTAAAATCCTGATGATCATGGACACGTGGTTCATCAGTGTACTCAACATATAGGTGCGTGATATTCTTATACCAATCCATGTAACCCGGTACACATTCCCAAGGCTGACGAACTGGTGTGTTCCTTCGTTGCTCAGATAACACGTGGTTATCCCAAGCCTCCCAGATCCTATCCAAGTATCTATACATGACTGTATATCGTGCAGATATGTTGCCTCGAGCACCACGACTGGGAGCTAACGGTGCATCTGGGATGGTTTGAACCCTGCCAAACTGCCTCAGAACTCTATCTAGATGATAGGGTTCGACAACGTCTAAGCACTTTAAGCATCCATGGTAGAACGTAACCGGGTTACATGGATGCCGGTCTTTGCAGTTGTGGTATGGATCCCAAATAACCTGTAAACGTAAAGTGTTTTGAATTACAGTATATAAAGGGTAAGATAAATGGAAAATGTTAAAATTATCTCAGGATGAGTAAACTTACATCAATAGCTACCAAACTGTCAAGCTCGGCCCGAAAAGATTTCAAATGATCAATGGAAGAACACGCCTCTCTCCTAGATGCCCAATGGTACACGTGTGGCATGTCTTCATTGTAGCCCATGTTCTGGTGAGGTCGGAATGCTCGGAAGTGCTCATAAATCCACTCCTCCAAAAGTGTCATATAACCACCCATCTACTTAACCCCAAACCGGCTAGCATACCCTAACTGTCTGTATAAAAATGCTAATGCAGCAGCACCCCAGGCGTAAGTATGAATGGATCCCAAATCCATCAATAAGTCAAGGTAAACAACAGGAACCCTGCCACCACTCTTGTCACTGAAGAATGTACATCCCAACAGAAACAACAAATAAGCTCTAGCAGTGCACTGTATAGCCTCCTCGGGGTTTGAATTTGTGACACCAGCAAACTGACTTCGCAACCACTCAAGCCTGACTGAATTGCCACCAGCAGTAGAAACCTCTTCATGTGTTGCACGTTCAGTAGTCCCCAAGCCATAAACCAGTAGTGTAACTCCATGATGATCTGTCACATCTGGTACGTTGACTGATTTGCCTACAACGGGAAGGCCAAAAATAGTGCCAACATCATCCAGGGTCAAGGTGATCTCACCAACTGTCATGTGAAATGTGTTCGTCTCAAGTTGCCATCTCTCAACAAAACTAGAGATTAGAAGCTTGTTGACGAACCGATAAGTGCAACGAGCTAACTGTGACAGCCCAGACTGCGCAATAATGGCTTTGAATCTGGTGTTGTTGTTTACTGACCACCATGGCCATGCAAGGATCTTCAAAGAGTGATTATGACACTTTAGGGGCCCTCGTTCCTATAACACAAATAATATCTCATTAGAAACTATCCTACAACACACACAGGAAAAAAAAAATTTCATATACAAATGAATTTTACTTCTACTCAGGAATGTTTACCTCCCCGTGCCAAATAGCTGTAGCGACATGACTATTGAAACTCCGCAGTATTGATGGATCAGTCGGTCCACCTAGAAAAGCATGAGTAAGGTCCTCTTCCTGGATAGGAGGAGAATTAGGTAAAGAGGCATCCTCCACAGTAATGTCAGGCATATCATAACCTTGAACTTGTCTTTGACTTCGACTCCGACTTTGACTGGCACTGGGGATATCATATTCTACCGAAACTGGATCATGACCTCGACCACGACCTTGACTTCGTCCTCGCCCACGCCCTCGTCCCTGTTCATGGTCTACATCCAATTCATGACGTCGTCTATTTGAAGTAGTAGGTGGGACACGTTGTTGACATTCAGAATCCATATTATCTGCAAAAAATAATATGTTTAATGACTATACAGTTGAAACAAGGGAGCTTCTATTTGCACACACCTATTCCCCTCTTTACACATCTTTTTCAATAAATAATTGGTTCGGAAGTAGAATTCCGAAAATCAACAATTGGTTCGGAAGTAGCATTTTGAAAATAAACAACTTGTTTGGAAGTAGAGTTCGGAATTTTTTTTTATTTTTTTGACATTCAACTTCCGAATGTGTTTGTTTAATGTCTATAATAGTAATTTCACTTGAAAATAAAATTATAATAAAAATAATTTTTATTAAGTGTGTGTAAAGAGGGGAACGGGGATGTGGAAATATAAGCTCCCTTCACACAACAATATACAACAGAAGGGAAAAAAAAAAAAAAAAACTTGTTCGGAAGTTCACAACCGAAAATACATATTATGTTCAGAAGTTGAAATCTGAAAAACAAACATAATTTCGGAAGTTAAGTGTTGTCCAAATTCAAAATTTTTGGAAGTTGACTATCGAAACAATGAAACATTTTCGGAAATCTACTGATGAAAATATTGATTATTTTCGGATTTTTACGTCTGAACCAATTGTTATCTTTCAAAAAACCAGTTCCGAACGACGGTTACAAATGAAAAACTCTACATTACAAATGAAAAAACTCTACAACAGAACATGGGGTAAATGAAAAAATTAGGAATGATTTGGGAGCTATTTGGGAGCTATTTCTGCTAGCCGTTGGGAGCTATTTGGAAAATGAAAAAAATTAAAGATTGATGAAAAAAGTTACCCTAACTGTGTGAAGCAGGGAGCTATTTGCACCGTTGGGAGAGCAATGTGAGAGATGCAGCTTCAATGGGTGTGCACCGTCGGGAGAGCTGGGTTTGGGGGTGTGTGTGTGTGTGTGTAAGTGTGAGGGTAGATGTGGAATCAAATGTGTGTGCAGTGAGTAAAAGAATTAGGAATGATTTTTTTTGGTGTGTGTAGTGAGAAGGATGTGCAAAGAGGGTATTTGGTGTATGTAGATAGAAGCTCCCCATAATATCTCAAACAAACATAGGATTTATATCCTATCCAACCAAATAGTTATTTCTTGACATTTAATCATATAACTAAACAAATATGGGATACATATCTTATCTAATCAAATAGTCTCAGGACTATGAATCTCAAGATTCCAATCCGATGGATTCCAATCCCTCTTTATCCAGTCTGTTCAAACAAAAACACCCTTAAAGTGTTGGTGTCCACCGGATGTGACAAGGGTAAGGGTGTAAAACATGTGTCCAACACATGCACCAAATTTAGATACCAAGATCCTCTAATTTTTTTATGATGTTTGAAGAAAACGGAACTTACATTTGATTGTGAAGAAACATTTCTAACTTCTCGCATGGATGAGAGAATTATATTCAAGTTCAAATACATTTCTGAATTATTTACATCTTATTTAAAAATAATATACGGTAATATATATATATATATATGATTGTGTATTTATATGAGGAGCCCTCGTACCCATACCTAATTTTTGAATACATGTTCTAATATTTATGAATATTTGATGTTGAGACCTGGACCTAATATCTGTACCCAAGTCTATGTAACATAAGATGCCTTCTATGAAGGTCACGTGGGAAAAATGGCTAAGCAAGCCTTGTGGAGTTCATAGAATGCAAGAAGAAATTTACACGATGTTGGTCCGGTTTCTAATTTTCATGTGAGCTTCTTTCTAGATATGCATATACATGCAATGTCCGTTTGAAATTACAAAAATAAGCTCATTTGGTTGTGTTTTCATTTTTTTTCATGTTTTCAAAAGTAAAACCAATAGAAAGCTTAAAATCAGCCATGATTTTTTTTCTTTCTTTGATAATCGGGTGTCTGAGCTAAGCTTATGCACACCTCGATTAATATCGGAGTCCTAAAGTTAATGATCAGACAAATCTTCAGTAGTCCCAAAGGTTTAAAATATTTGACTTTCGGGAGATTTGACCCTGCAACCTCTTCACCCCATGATTTTTTTATTTGTGTGAAAATAACTTTTTAATACTTTCTAAAATGTGGGTGGTTCTATGTTTTCTATGTTTTATAAAAATTGAAAGCACAAACAAAAATACAACCAAAGAAGCTTCCTAAACTTTGCATATGCTGATTGATTTTCATGATTCTTGAAAAATATGTCACTTTATTTGTTCTTGTGGTTTCTCCAAATGATCTATTACCTTGTACTGATTGAATTTAAAAACATTCGTCTTTCCAAAAAAAAAAAAAAAAAAACATTCTATTAAGCCATTACTCAGAGAAACATGTTATTCTCTCCTATTTCAGAAATATCCCATTCAGTACAGTGACTAATTTAAGTAATGCTTTAGAGACAGTGACTAAGGAAGCTTCAGGGAAATGGAGAGATTCTCTAGGAAGGTAAACCTTTCATCTGTAAAATTTTGTATTTATGTTTGAGACCAAATTTTTACTGAAACATTGATATGATACTAACAACTTAACCAGTGTCTGCTGTCTTTGACAATGACCAATGGTAATGAAATTTTGGTGTTCTGTGTTC